AGTAATAGGTTACATCATACTAGATTTGTGTAAGTAAACTCGTGATGTTCTCATGATGACAAAATTGCACAATGACAAAATTACATAACAATGCATTTTTCAGAATGTAGCCCCATCATTAAGCAATGCATGACTATATTTTCCAAATAACAAAATAATTATAAAAAATAATTATACAAGTATTTTTAAAAATCTGGTTAATGAGCAAAATAGCCAAGTCGATTTTAACATAAAGTATAAAAAGTTCACTAATAGGTTTTTGGAGTCTACATTGCAATTAACCTTTAAGAAACTGCCACTAGTGGAGTTTTGGTGTAATCTCAAAGAAGAATATTCACCATTATCTGAAAAGGTAATTCTTCTCTCTTTTCCAACTATATATTTATGTAAGACCAGATTTTCATCATATACTAACCAAAACAACCTATCATAATAGATTAAACACAGAAGCAGATATAAGATTCCAATTAGACATTAAAGTGATTGACAAAAATGTAAAATAATGCTCCTTTTCTCACTAAATTTTTTTTAAAATTTATTTATTTATTTATTATGTTATACTTTAAGTTGTAGGGTACATGTGCATAACGTGCAGGTTTGTTACATATGTCTACTTGTGCCATGTTGGCTCCCACACCCACGGAGCCTCCCTCATCGCTATCACTAAATTTTTTGAAAAAAATATTTTTAATGAAAGCATGAAATTTATGTAAACATGTAATTGGTTTACTAATATTATTTTAAACAAATCATTAAATAAATGTTGTACAATTTTCTCAGTTCTAGTATGGTAAATATCAACAGATACAACTCACATAAACTAAAGCTCTTTGGGATCCTCAATAATTTTTAAGAATGAAAGAGTCTGAACACCAAAAGATCTGAAAGTCACTACTGTAAATAAATCAGTATATAGTACTATAAGCATATTATTTAAATCTATAGAAGTGATTAAAAGAACCAAAACCAGAAGCATTCAGAATTGGTTTTCTCAAGGGAAGTGTGACTGGAGGTGGGAAAAGATAAAATAAGGATGTGTTTCATTTTATTTTTAGCCTTTCTGTACCTTTTAATTTTTAACCATTTTTAGTAAATGGTAAAAATAGCCTATTAATAAAATACAAGGATAAACAAAAATATAGAAAAATACAGAAAGGAGCATACTGCTTTTATCAGTCTTCACATGGCAATTTTTTGCTCACCTTTAAGCATCTTCACAACCCCTGTCAATGTATTCATATCCATATCTTCATCAGCTATAAGGTAAAATAAATTCACATATATAAGCATTGATACTCAAAAAATAACTCATATTTGGTAATTTTTACCATTTCCTCTAGAATTTCCTCACCTGTTGTTTTTACTTCCTCATCTCTATAACAAAGAAAATAATACTACTTACCTCACAGGCTTTGAGTAAGCATTAAAAGAGACAGAAGAAGTACTTAGACTTATGCCTAGCACATTGCATATGCAAAAAAAAATAGCCATTAGTGTTTTTATTTTTAAAAGTAATAGAAGTAGAGTCTACATCTATTCTTCTGATATAAAAAAGTCATATCATATATCTTTTCTCATTTGAATATAATACTGATATATTTATAACATCTTTTAAAAGTATAAAATCTATTTTATTAAATTTCCTATCCAATCTCTACATGTAATATATAACCCGGGGGCTTGTTACAGTGGCCTGGAGAATAGTTTTTCATGGAGAGTAGCCAATCAAATATTCCTAAATATACGGAGAGAAGAACTCTATAATTAATGTTTCTGCTTTCACATTTGGTAAGGTCCATAAAAAGAAGTTAGGGGAGATATGATTTTAATTAGCAAACAGTTACAAATAATGGCAGCATGACCTGATGCTACCCTCTGGCCCCCATATATGTGTCAGATAATTATCTGTGTGGAAAGAAAACAATAAATACCAATTGTACAGTAAAAGAATATGTAAATACAACTTACATGAACATACACACAATCTTCAAAACTATAATTAGTCTCATAAGACCAAGAGAGTAAGAATCAGTGATAAGACTCTTTGGTAATATGCTCTCAAACAGACTCTAGGTAATGTGACTGCTGCAAATAAGTCATGCAATTTCTGATTATTTGCTAGAAGACTAGGAGGTTTTTTTCAAGTTTCTTAGCTGACTGTGATTTAAAAAGTTTTGTTCTGTGAATTAAGGAAAATAAATAATTTTTAAAACTTTTTATTTAAATTTTTGTGGGTACATAGTAGGTACATATATTTATGAGTTACATGAGATGTTTTGATACAGGTATGCAATGCATAACAATCATATCATGTAACATGGGATATCCATTCCCTCAAACTTTTATCTTTTGTGTTACAAACAATCCAATCATAATCTTTTAGTTATTTTAAAATGTACAATTAAATTATTGTTGACTATAGTCACCCTGTTGTACTATCAAATACGAGGTCTTATTCACTCTTCCTAACTACTTTTTTTGTACCCATTAACCAATCCCATCTCCCCAACACCCTCCCATTACCCTTTCCAGCCTCTACCCTCTATCTCCATGAGTTCAATTATTTTGCTTTTTAGATCCCAAAATAAGTGAGAACATACAATGTTTGTCTTCCTGTGCCTGGCCTATTTCACTTAGCATAATGACCTCCAGTTCCATTCATATTGTTGTAAATGACAGGATCTCATTCTTTTTTATGGCTGAACAGTACTCCATTGTGTATAAGTACCACATTTCCATTACCCATTCACCTGTTGACGAGCACTTAGGTTGCTTTAAGGAAAGTTAATACTTTTTTAATGTAAAAACCCAGATTCAAAGGACAGGGAGATATTTTACCTCTTAATGAGTAGAATGGCAAAATAAAATTATAAAGAATTGGGAAGAATTATTATAGTCAGTCTTGAAAATAATCTATCATGTATAGATACACAGACAGCAATAAAGAAAATGTGGCCAAATAACTAACATTTGTGAATATGGATGTTGGGTAAACAGATGTTCATTGTATTATTTCTGCAAATTTTCTGCAGGTTTAAAATACTTGAAAATAAAATCTGAGAGGAAACTTTGCAGATTTTTCTCCATGCACCACCTCCAGGTGCTCATGGCAGAAAGATTGGGGCATGGCAGAGGATCAGAAAGTGCTTTCCACATTGAAGCCAGACTGGAGGAGAGGAGTAACTGCCATCATGTGAAAGACATAAGGTCTGCATGGGCCCTTTTTTCATAAGGCTCAAAAACCGTATGCTGCTGGGGAGGGGCAACAAATTCTGTCACTCTCAGGGCACAAATCACGAAACAAATTGGGGGGTGGTGACGGGGGAAGTGGTTAATTAAAAAACTCTCCCCCTGAGAGAGAAGTAGGATACCATCTTGGGCTAGGATCCTATGCCAATACCAAGTAAAGATTTCCAACTACTGGAAAAGGGAAAGAAGCTGTCTCCCACATAAGGCCCACTACAATGCAATGCAGCGTTTGGCTGCCTCAGAGAGGAGGCATACAATAAAAAGAAAAATTAAAGGCAGCTAAAGAAAAAGAATGTATTACATATAGAGGAAAAGTATTGCAGCATACTTCTCAATAAAGGCTATGCAAGATAAAATATTACGAAGTTATATCTTTAAATTATTAGAATACTAGGAGAGAGGAGAAGTTGCTGACCCAGAATTCTATATGAAGTGAAAACACCTTCCAAAATGAAGGAAAAATATCTTTCAAACCTATGGAGAGACCCGCATGGCAAGGATCCCCAGGGGGACTTAAGTTGCTAATAGCAACAACTATGTAAGTGAGTAATCTTGGAAGTGAATCCCCCAACCTCAGTGAAACCTTCAGATGACTGCAACCCTAGCCTATATCTTAACTGCAATCTCATCACAGATCCTAAGCCAGAACCACCCTTATGCCACTCCCATATTCTTGATCCACTGAAGCTGTGGGCAAATAAGTGGTTCTCATTTGAAGCCATTAAGTGTTGGGGGTAATTTGTTATATACAAATAAGTAATTAATACTTATTAAATAGGTAAAATAGGCCATAAAATAAACTTCAACAAATTCAAAAGAACACAAATTATACAGAGTATGATCTCTGACCAGAACAAAATTAAACCAGAAATCCAAAACAGAAAAATATCTCAAAACTACACAAACATTTGGAAATTCAATAACACACTAAATAACCCGTAAGTCAAGGAGGAAATCATAAGAATAATTAGAAAATATTTTGAATTGAATGATAATAAAAATACAATAAAATTGTAGGATACATTTAAGTAGTACTGAAAGAAAAAGTGGGTAGTATTTATGGTTACACTAGAAAGAAAGCTATCAAGACAGTGATCAAATCTACTTGACAAAACTAGAAAAAGAACAATATTAACCTAAAGCAAGAACAAGGAAGGAAATAAAGAACAGAAGTCGCTAAAATTGAAAACAGAAAACTGACAGAATAAATCAATGAAACTAAAAGCTGGTTTTAATAAATAAAATTGGTAACATGATAAAAAAATAACAGAGAATACACAAACAATCAATAGTCAGGAATAAAAGAGGGGAAAATAACTACCGATCGTGCAGGCAATAAATAGGTAATAAGCAAGTATTATGAGCAACTTTATATCCATAAAGGTCCTATCTAAACAAAATGAACAAATTTCTTGAAACACAAAGTATCAAGGATCTCTAAAAAAGAAATAGATAGGCCAAATATTCATGTATCTATTAAAGAAATTAAGTGAATACTTAAAACCTCCAATCAAGAAAATTCCAGGAGAGGAAAGTTTCAATGACAAATTCAATCAAACATTTAAGGAAAAAATAACACCAACTCTACACAAGCTCTTCCAGAAAACAGGAGAGGAAGGGATGTTTTCCAATTCTTTCTATGAGAGCAATATTACCCTAACACTGTAACCACACAAAGATAGTATAAGAAAAAAAGGTACAATCTGACCAAATTCAATGGCTTATGCCTGTAGTCCCAGCTACTCATGAGACTGAGGCAGGAGGATCACTTGAGTCTAGGAGGTTGAGCCTGCAGTGAGTCACGATCATGCTACTGCACTCCAGCCTGGGCAACTGTCTCAAAAACAGAAAACAAATAAGCAAACCAAACCAAAACAAAAACCCTACAATCTAAAATTCATCATGAACTTAGGTACAAATATCCTCAAAAATATTTTCAAATTGAATCAAGGAATATATTTAAGAGATAATACATTATAACCAAATAAGGGTTATCCTAGGAGTGCAAAATAGGTTTAATATTAGAAAGTGAATTAATGTAATTTACTATATTAACTAATTAAGGAAAAAAAACCTGATGGATGCAGATAAAGCATTTCACATAATTGAGTATCCATACATGATAACTCTCAGGAAACTAGGAATTAAATAAAATTCCTTCAACCTTCAATAAAGGGCATTGACAAACACATAACATCATACTGAATGGTGAAAGACTGATTTCTTTCCCCCTAAAAGTGGGAACAAGGGAAGGATATCCAGTTTCATCACTCCTATTCAATATTGTGCTGGAAGTCCTAGAAAGTACAATAAGGCAAGGAAAACAAAGGGCATGTGGATGTGGATTAGAGGAAAAAAAGAAATAAACCAGCCTCTATTCATAGAGACATACATATTTTCAAAGAAAATTCTAAAGATTCTTCCAAAAAAGGTAAAACTAACAGGTGAATTTACAGGCCAATCTATAAAAATCTATGATGTTTTTATATACTAGCAATAAATAACTGGAAACTGATTTTTGAATTGTCATTTACAATACTACCAACAATCATGAAATACTTAAGTATAAATCAAGCAAAATATGTATAAGATCTGTGTGCTATCAGTACCATAGGAAATGTAAGAAAATCATACACATACATAAAAATCTGTGTGCTAAGGCTGGGCGCAATGGCTCACACCTGTAATCCCAGCACTTTGGGAGGCCAAGTCGGGTGGATCATGAGGTCAGGAGTTCAAGACCATCCTGGCCAATCTGATGAAACCCTGTCTCTACTAAAAATACAAAAATTAGCTGGGAGTGGTGACGTATGCCTGTAGTCCCACCTACTCAGGAGGCTGAGGCAGAAGAATTGCTTGAACCCATGAGGCGGAGGTTGCAGTGAGCTGAGATCGTGCCACTGTATTTCAGCCTGGTGACAGAGTGAGACACCATCTCAAAAAAAAAAAAAATTTCTGTGGGCTAAATACTATAAAACACTGATGAGATAAATCAAAGATAAATAAATAAAGATATATACCTTGTCACAGATTAGAAGATTCAATATTGTTAAATTGTCAATTTTCCCAAATTGATTGATTAAATGCAATGCTAATAAAAATCTTAGCAGAAATTTTGGGTAGAAATTGACAAGCTGATTCTAAAATTTATATGGAAAAGAAAAAAATAAAAAAAATTCAAAAATACAATAGTCAAAACAATTTTGCAAAAAAAGAACAAAGTTGGTAGACTGGCAGTACATAACTTCAAGACTTATGATAAAAATACATTAAAGGATACACACAAAAATCAATGGAACTGAATAGATCATCCAGAAATAAAGCCACATACATATAGGCCACATACATATAGAAGGGCAAAGGCAGTTCAATGGTAAAGAATAGTCCATTCAACAAATGGTGCTGGTTCAACTGAATATCCATATGTTTTTTAAAAAGAACTTCAACCCATGTATTATAACATATGCAAAAACCAGGTCAAAATGATCACAGATCTAAATGTAAAATTTTAAACTATAAAACTTCTAGAACTCTGCTGCCCTATATGGTAGCTGCTAACTACATGCAGTTGTTGAACATTTGAAATGTGTATTGTCTGAAGTTAGGCATATTATAATAGTAAAATATCCACTAGACTTCAAAAACTTAGTATGAGAAAAGGAAAGTAAGATATTTCATTAATAAGTTTTTATACTGATTGCAAGTTTAAATGATAATCTTTAGGGTATTTTTATTTAAAATCTATTTTTAAATAATTTTTTTACCTCTTTCAAGTTTTATTAATGTGGCTATTAGAAAACCTAAAATTACATATGAGGATTGCCTTATATATCTATTGGACAGCACTGGTCCAGAAGAAAACATAGTAGAAAATTTTTGCATCTTTGGGTTAGGTAAAGATTTCTTAGATACAGCACAAAAGCACTATCTACAAAAAAAAGTTTCCAAAAACACTGGTAAGAAAATGAAAAGATAAGTAACAGACTGAGAAGAAATGTTTACAAAGTGCCTATCAAATAAAAACTTGTATTTATAATACATAAAGGGTTCTCAAGAATCAATAATCAGAAAACAATCAAAAAGTAGGCAAAATATCTGAGTTGACGCTTCAGAAAACACAATATGCTAATGGCAATTTACAACCTGTTGTTCAACATTACTTGTCCATAGAGAAATACAAGTTAAAGCCACAGTGAAATACCAATACACACATATAATGATAGTAAAAAAAAAAAAAAAAAAAAAAGAATAGCTGACACTACCAAGTGCTAGAAAGTCTGCACAGCAACTGAAATGCTTATATCGGAGACGGTATAGCCACTTTGAAATAAAACAATGGTAGTTTTTACTAGTCACTACAAACATTCAAACTATAAGGTATAGTTTGAATTCAAACTTACAGTTTCAATGTTTGCAGGGACTATAATCACCAAAAACTGGGGCAATTCAAATGTCTAATATCAGGAAAAAGGATAAACAAATGTTGATAAAGTCATACAATGGAATACTATTTAGCAAAAAGGGCAGGGAACTGATACATTCAACACCACTGATGAATCTCAAAACCTTATTGAGTAAAGCAGCCATACACAAAAGATTACATATGTAAGATTATACTGTATAATTCCATTTACAGAAAGTTCTATATCAGGCAAAACTAATCAATGGTGATAAGAATGTGGTAGAAATGCGTGGTTTGTCTCAGGGGAGGAATAAGTAACTAACTGGCAAGGAGCATAAGGGAATTCTCTGGGAAGGGGGGCGGGTGGGGGTGTGTGTGTGTGTGTGTGTCTGTGTGTGTGTGTGTGTGTGTGTATGTGTGCGTGTGTGTGTATATATATATCCCAATTGCAGTGTGGGTTTTTGATGATTGTCAAAACTCATCACCCATATCTACGAATATTGTTTTCCTTTATTCTGTAGCTGTGATTTACTTTCAAATGACAGAAAAGCAAAGAAACTTGGTGACTCCATTCCTGACTAGATAGATTATTCAATTCTGTTATTTACTCTTATTCACAACACTTCTCCACAATCGCATTGGAAAATAAAGACTGGTTAATTTCAAAGTGTCTCAGGGGTGTGTTATTGTTGTATTTAGAATTATCTTTCTCCCAGTTGTTGCAAATAATATTCCTTACATATTTATTGAATGAAAAAAAAGCTCATCATATTGTAACCTTAATCTGTGGTTTTATTGTATGTACATTATACCTGAATTTTTAAAAATGAAAACAGGGCAAAAATATAGGTGTGTATAGTCATTAAAGGTTTTTGAACAGCAGGGTAGCACATTAAAAACTGTGCTTTAGGGAAAATAATCTGGCAGCAGGGTGAATCAGGTACTAATGTCTAAGAAGTTTACTATTGCTTAGCCTGTCAAATAATAAGTAGCAGGACTTTTCTAATGGTATAAAAATATTTTAAAAAAATATTTAGCTTAGACAATTCAAATAATTATAGAATCAGAAACTCCCACAGAAAAGTCTCCAAAATCATAAGCTTAATAGTATCTGACACCCACAATGAGCTATTTTAAAGCCTCACCAGTAGCTGACAGGTGGTCTAGTAGATATTGTTGTTCTTCTTCTGTAAGTTTTATATCCATGTTTTTCAAAATAGCATCCACATTACTGACATCAATCTTCCCTCCTTTAGGAAACAAGTATAAGGAAATAAGGGAATAAGGAAAATATCAAATCTACAACAGCATGAAGTTCACATGTTATAAGTCCTACTTACTGCTTGAAATAATGAAAGAAAATTATCCCTTGGTCTTTATTGTACTTTAGGACACAAATCCTTAACTTTATAAAAATAAATAAAACATCTTGATCAAATAGTTAATTAATATGGCAATGCAGAAACCAAACTGAGTAATTATAATCAATAAAGGCCTTGAAAAGTTGAGTTGGAAGGCTTGATTTTACTTGAATTACCAACTTTACAGTCTCTATTTATTAAATTAAAACAATATTTCAAGGTATGACTTTTCATGAATATCTATAATTTTGTGATTTTTATACTTGTCAAGATTATTACAAAATCTAAAAATAATAAAATGGCCTGTTGTTGCAAAAGCATAGTATTACTAAATATTTTTTCAGATGTAGATGTAGCCAGAAGGAATCTCAGGTAATAAGAAATGGGCATATAATAACAAAATAACATGGAAGGGAAACGATTAAACTAGTTGTCTAAGAAATAAAATGGGTATTTTAAAATAAATGTATTGTCTCTATGTTTACCAAATGAACTATATTTTTAAAAATATACAAAAAGAATGTTGCCACAGATAATACTATAAGTTTTAGAAGTTCATTTTACTTATTCATATCTTTAGCTCTTAACATAGTGTCTAGCACTGTCTAGTTATTCAGTAAATATTTAATTAATTAACAAACTTTTAACTCACCTATGGGTGCACTATCTTTTATTCCTTTCTTCTTCTTCACTTTATTATCAGCTGCAAAATAAAGAACTAATTATATCACAATTACAGTAAGTTTTATCAAATCATTAATGTTAAACATAGCAATTCTGGGATGTTGTATATTTTGACCTATAACCTCATTTAATTAAAAATAAGTATAAGACATAGGAAAAAAGAAGGCTTTCAAGAATCATTAATGAAGATTCTTGTTTCTGAGATTTAATGAATCAATCACAAAATAAGGCACCTTTGAAATACATAATAGACCAAAAAACAGTATTCAAGTTTTGTAATATCTTTCAGAACTCAACATGAGTTCCTTTTTAGATGATGGAGGGAAGATGGTTCATCTCATCTATTCATTCTGCTAATGTAAGGAGATAGGGATATGGTACTTTTTTCTCTTATTATCTAACAAAAATAAACTTTTAAGTAATCCATTTTAGTGAGCTTTCTCTTCTAATTTGTGTGTACCAACCGAGAAAAATGTGCTTTTATTCCATTAGGAGCCCTAGAAGTCAGCAAGACTCATAGACTTTTTTGAGAAACCATAGCAAGGAGAAAGTAGAGAAGAATTGCAAGCACTGATATCTAAGAAGAAAGGTCTCTGATAGCCACCAAATTTTCCACAGCCCCAGCATGGCATGCAAGAATAGCAAAATGTTTTCCATGACACAGTGAAGGGAACAGAGGCTGGTAAGAGTCAAAAGCCCCAAAGCAGCCTGGCAGTCAAGCTAAGAGTGCAAAGTAACCAGTGCAAGTGCATGCAAGATATAATGCCAGATTAAAATTCAGGTTATTCAGTTAGCGCCAACATGAAAGGACAACGATAAACGAGGATCAAAACAGACATATTATCATAAAAATATCTGAATAGCGGGCACCTCCTTTTCCCCTGCACCTCCACATAAGTCTCCCAGAACATAGATGCAACCCTCTGGAGAAGGGAAAAATGAGAACATCTTGATTTAACTTACAAAAATGCTGATTGGAACATAATTTATACCAGTAGCTAAGATCACTCAGAACACAAACTCACATGTGCAAAAACTTTAACATTTTTAATTCAACCAAGATAAGATAGAAAAATAAAAACAGTCCAGATTTTGTACTCATGAGTTTATGACCTAAGAAAGTTGTAGGCTGCAAAATTTATATAATTGTAATACTCACTAGGCTGTAGGCTCTATTGAGTCAGGAACTGTCTTGTTTATCTTTGTATTACCAATGCCTAGTACAGTGACTGCCCACAATAAACACACAGTAAATTTTTATTGATTGACTGAAAGAATGAATAAACTGATTAATTTACATACCAGATATTTAATAAATATGTATTCATAAGCATTATAAATTCCCTGATCATTATATAGAGAATACATTTTCATAAACAACATTAAATACAGTGTGAATGCCAACTCAAATGTTTACATCAGTGGTTCTTAACTGGGCAATTTTGCCTCCTAGGAAACATTTGACAATTTCTGGAGACATTTTTGGTTGTCACAATTATGGAGCGCTACTGGAATCTAATGGATAGACAACAGAGATGCTGCTGAACATGCTGCAATGCACAGTACAGCTCCCCACAACAGAGAATTATCTAATCCAAAATATCAATGATGCCAAGGTTGAGAAACCCTGATCTAATTTTTTTTGTCTTTGTATAATCTAACAAGCCATGCACCTAGTGTTTTGGTTTCATAGCTAGGCACAAAATACAACAATACTTCTGATGAACTACATAACTATAAATTGAGTAAAAAAAACCTCTTGAATTGCCTGGAGATATCTCATTTAATCCATGGCTTAACTAAATTCCAGCTCTACCACTTAGCAGCTAATAAATTAATACTCATATAGCTACAAATCATCTAACTGTATGATTATTGATTTATTTATTGGTAAATGGAAATAACGAAATCTAGTTCAAATGATTATTGTGAGAAATGGGTAAGATAGTATATGTAAAATGCTTTTCACAGTGATTAGAAGTAGTAAACATTCTATATGATGGCTACCATCATAATGTTAAATATTTGTAAATCTAAATCTCAGGTCAGACAACTCTTCTAAGCTACAGATCTATCTATCCAATGAACTACTGGACATTGTTTGAGGGGAAACATCATTTCCTTATCTTTAAATCCCCACAGAGGGAAATAATTTTAATTGAATAATAATAGGAGGATTCCGTTCCAAGGTGACCGAATAGGAACAGCTCCGATCTGCAGCTCTCAGCATGACTGACACAGAAGACGGGTGATTTCTGCATTTCCAACTGAGGTACATGGTTTATCTCATTGGGACTGGTTGGACAGTGGGTGCAGCCCACAGACGGTGAGCCGAAGCAGGGTGGGGCATTGCCTCACCCAGGAAGTGCAAGGGGTTGGGGATTTCCCTTACCTAGCCAAGGGAAGCCATGACATACGGTACCTGGAAAAGGGACACTCCCACTCAAATACTGTGCTTTTCCAATGGTCTTAGGAAATGGCACACCAGGAGATTATATCCCGCGTCTGCTTGGCGGCTCCCACACTCACAGAGCCTTGCTTACTGCTAGTGCAGTAGTCTGAGATCAAACCTTGCTTACTGCTAGTGCAGCAGCCAGGCACAGGGAGAGGCGTCAACCATTGCTGAAGCTTGAGTAGGTAAACAAAGCAGCCAAGGAAGCTTGAACTGGGCAGAGCCCACTGCAGCTCAGCAAGGCTGGCTGCCTCTGTAGTCTCCACCTCTTGGGGCAGGGCATAGCTGAGCAAAAGGCAGCAGAAACTTCTGCAGACTTAAAAGTCCCTAACAGCTCTGAAGAGAGCAGTGGTTCTCCCAGCAAAGTGTTTGAACATAGAATGGACAGACTGCCTCCTCAAGTGGGTCCCTGACCTCTGTGTAGCCTAATTGAGAGACACCCCCCAGTAGGGGCTGACTGACACTTCATATAGCCTGGTGCCCCTCTGAGACGAACCTTCCAGAGGAAGGATCAGGCAGCAATATTTGCTCTTCTGCAATATTTGCTGTTCTGCAGCCTCTGCTGGTGATACTGAGACAAACTGAGACCTCCAGCAAACTCCAAACTCCAATAGACCCTGCAGCTGAGGGACCTGACTATTAGAAGGAAAACTAACAAACAGAAAGGAATAGCATCAACATCAACAAAAAGACATCCACACCAAAACCCCATCTGTAGGTCACCAACATCAAAGACCAAAGGTAGATAAAACCACAAGGATGGGGAGAAACCAGAGCAGAAAAGCTTAACATTCTAAAAACCGAGCACCTCTTCTCCAAAGGATTGGAGCTCCTCGCCAGCAATGGAACAAAGCTGGATGGAGAATGACTCTGATGAGCTGACAGAAGTAGGCTTCAGAAGGTCAGTAATAACAAACTACTCCGAGTTAAAGGAGGATGTTCAAACCCATTGCAAGAAAGCTAAAAACCTTGAAAAAAGATTAGACAAAAGACTAAGTAGAATAAACAGTGTAGAGAAGACCTTAAATGACCTGCTGGAGCTGAAAACCATGGCACGAGAACTACGTGACACATGCACAAGCTTCAATTGCCAATTCAATCAAGTGGAAGAAAGGGTATTAGTGATTGAAGATCAAGTTAATTAAATAAAGCAAGAAGAGAAGTTTAGAGAAAAAAGTAAAAAAAAAAAAAAAAAAAAAAAAAAAAAAAAAAAAAAAAACAACGAACAAAGCCTCCAAGAAATATGGGACTACGTGAAAAGACCAAATCTACATTTCATTGGTGTACCTGAAAGTAGTGGGGAGAATGGAACCAAGTTGGAAAACACCCTTCAGGATATGATCCAGGAGAACTTCCCCAACCTGGCAAGGCAGGCCAACATTCAAATTCATGAAATACAGAGAACTCCACAAAGATACTCCTCAAGAAGAGCAGCTCCAAGACACACAATTGTCAGATTCACCAAGGTTAAAATGAAGGAAAAATGTTAAGGGCGGCCAGAGAGAAACGTCGGGTTACCCACAAAGGGAAGTCCATGAGACTAACAGCATATCTCTCGGCAGAAACTCTACAAGCCACAAGAGACTGGGGGCCAATATTCAACATTCTTAAAGAAAAGAATTTTCAACCCAGAATTTCATATTCAGCCAAACTAAGCTTCATAAGTAAAGGAGAAATAAAATCCTTTACAGACAAGCAAATGCTGAGAGATTCTGTCACCACCAGGCTTGCCTTACAAGAGCTCCTGAAGGAAACACTAAACACGGAAAGGAACAACCAGTACCAGCCACTGCAAAAACATGCCAAATTGTAAAGACCATTGATACTAGGAAGAAACTGCATCAACTAAAGGGCAAAATGACCAGCTAACATCATAATGACGGGATCAAATTCACACATAACAATATTAACCTTAAATGTAAATGGGCTAAATACCCCAATTAAAAGACACAGACTGGCAAATTGGATAAAGAGCCAAGACCCATCAGGGGCTGTATTCAGGAGACCTATCTCACATGCAGAGACATATATAGGCTTAAAATACAGGGATGGAGGAAGATCTACCAAGCAAATGGAAAGAAAAAAAAAAGCAGGGGTTGCAATCCTAGTCTCTGATACAACAGACTTTAAACCAACAAAGATCAAAAGAGACAAAGAAGGCCATTACATAATGGTAATAGGATCAATTCAGCGAGAACAGCTAACTATCCTAAATATATATGTACCCAATACAGAAGCACCCAGATTCATAGAGCAAGTCCTGAGAGACCTGCAAAAAGACTTAGACCCCCACACAATAATAATGGGAGACTTAAACACCCCACTGTCAGTATTAGACAGATCAATGAGACACAAAGTTAACAAAGATATTCAGGATTTGAACTCAGCTCTGCACCAAGAGACCTAATAGACATCTACAGAACTCTCCAAACCAAATCAACAGAATATACATTCTTCTCAGCACATCACACTTATTCCAAAATTGACCACATAGTTGGAAATAAAGCACTCCTCAGCAAATGTAAAAGAACAGAAATCACAACAAACTGTCTCTCAGATAACAGTGCAATCAAATTAGAACTCAGGATTAAGAAACTCACTCAAAACCGCACAACTACATAGAAACTGAACAACCTGCTCCTAAATGACTACTGAGTAAATAACGAAATGAAGGCAGAAATAAAGATGTTCTTTGAAACCAATGAGAACAAAGACACAACATATCAGAATCTCTGGGACACATTTAAAGCTGTGTGTAGAGGGAAATTTATAGCACTAAATGCCCACCACAGAAAGCAGGAAAGATCTAAAATCAACACGCTACCATTACAATGAAAAGAACTAGAGAAGCAAGAGCAAACACATTCAAAAGCTAGCAGAAGGCAAGAAATAACTAAGATCAGGACTGAACTGAAGGAGATAGACACACACACACACACACACACACACACACACACACAAAACATTCAAAAAATCAGTGAATCCAGGGGCTGGTTTTTGAAAAGATCAACAAAATTGATAGATCACTAGCAAGACTAATAAAGAAGAGAGAGAAGAATCAAATAGATGTAATAAAAATTGATTAAGGGGATATCACCACCAATCCCACAGAAATACAAACTACCACCAGAGAATACTATAAACACCTCTACGCAAATAAACTAGAAAATCTACAAGAAATGGATCAATTCCTGGACACATACACCCTCCCAAGACTAAACCAGGAAGAAGCTGAATCACTGAATAGACCAATAACAGGCTCTGAAATTGAGGCAATCTTTAATAGGCTACCAACCAAAAAGAGTCCAGGACCAGACGGATTCACAGCCAAATTCTACCAGAGGTACGAGGAGGAGCTGGTACCATTCCTTCTGAAACTATTCCAATCAATAGAAAAAGAGGGAATCCTCCCTAACTCATTTTATGAGGCCAACATCATCCTGATACCAAAGCCTGGCAGAGATACAACAA